CGCCCCTCCGGGGCTGAGGGCCCCTGGGCAGAGGCTGGGGCAGCCAGGGCCGGTGCCGCTCAGGGCAGCCGCACAAGGCATCGGTGCTCTGCACCAGCTGGCAGGGACCCGGCATGACGGCAAGGGCCAGGCTTTGGGCAGCAAGAAGGGATGGGGTCAGCCAGCCACCCAGCCACCCTGGGCCAGACTCGGGCCCTGCTGGCACCCCGGCAGAGAGGACGAGCCGCTGCCCGGCCCTGCAGGGTCTCCACCCCAGGACTGTGCGCTCACCTTGCTGGATGCTCTCGTCGTACACCTTCATGTGCATCACCAGCGTGGTGCTGTTGCGCAGCACTGTCACCTCTGACCCATCCTTCTTGTTGCAGGTGCCCATCCTCTCCGAGGCCTGGTCAGCCCACCACAGCTTGTTGCCTGGGAGGAGAAGGCAGGGACATGCAGCAGCTTCCCCCATCCCCTCCCGCCCCAGCAGCCAAGAGCGGTGGCTCCACACAGATTTACATGTGATGGCCTGGAAAAAGGGGTCTGAGCTCAGCCTTTGGTGGAGAAGCATTCCCTCCACAGCTGCTAGAGGCGGCAATGAGCAGTCTGTGTCTGGGCAGGGCCAGGAGAAAGGGAAAGGGCTTCACAAACCGCTCCCATCACCCTGCCAGCTCTCACCCATGATGGCCAGGGCAGTCGCCTTGCTCAGCTGACTCTTCACGGATTCAATCACCTCCAGGTTGCTGCCGTCCAGGTTGCATCTGTTGATGGTGCCATTGCCAGAGCTGATCCAGTACAGCTTGCTCTCTGGGTAGTCAATGGCCAGGCCTGGAAAGCAAGGGACCGTCAGTGTCCAGGCGGCATGCAGGGACCATCACCATCCGGGAAGCGGGACGGGACCAGCAGAGCGAATGGGATGATGGAGAGGGAGCATGAGCAGGCGAGGAGGTCAGGGTAACGCAGCACAAACCAGCTGCCAGCCCCCGAGGGAGCCGGGGCTGCCAGACCAGGGGCTTGAGGCTTCTAGGGCCAGCAAGGGCACCGCGAGGCAGGGGGATACGGGGGAGGGTGTGGGGGGGGTCCGTACCCACAGGCCCTTTCTGGTTGGTGAAGAGGAGAGTGCGGTTGCTGCCGTCCATGTTGGCCATGCTGATGTTATCCCCGTCTGTCCAATACAGCTTCCTGCACCAGTGAGGGGACACTGAGCACGGTGGCTCCCGCAGCCCCGCAGAGATGGCCCACATGCAGCTCTGCTGCCCTCCCAGCCCACCCAGGCTCCGCCAGTCCCCACCACCCCAGCCTGCTCTCCAGGCTCCTCTCCAGCCTGTGGCCAGCCCTGTGCTGGCCCCTCTCCCCTCTCACTCCACAGCCCAGGCAGCCTGATGGCCTCCTCACCTCCAGTGCTGGGACTCGGGAGGGGGTTTGGTGTTTGTAAGCACTCGTGCAGCCGGGCCCAGCAAAGCCCTGTGCACGCCCAGACCGGCACATGCTCGCAGATGCACGCTTAAACGCAGGCTGTTCGCCTTCACGCACTCGTGTGCGTGTATGGAGACACAGCCCACTGCTTCACACACGCCGACAGACACAAATCTCCCAAGCTGTGGCCCTGTCTTCTCTCACACACCTCCTACACACGCTGACACATAGGGAGAGCAACCTGTTCTCTCCTCTGCTGTGCACGTGTGCTGTCACACGCATGCATATGTGTGCCTGCACGTACACCTGCTTCGACGCTCCTGGCCTGACCCCAAGCCCGCTGGCACCACATCCTGCCAGAGACTTACCCCCGGAGGGGGTGAACTACCAGGCAGTGAGGCTTGTCCAGCCCCTGGATCACCGCGTTCTTGAAGGAGCCGTCCAGCCGGGCCACGTTGATCTGCTTCTTGTTGGCATCGTAGCTGGTCCAGAAGAGGTTTCTGGAAACCCAGTCCACAGAGAGGCCGTGAGCGTTGGGCAGGTCTGAAAGCAAACGGAGAAGTGAGACTCATTAGTTCTGAGAACGGGGCTGGGATGGTGCTCAGATGAAGAGGAAGGGCTGATCTCATGGAGCCGAAGCCACTGGAGGGCTGGAAGCTCTGCTCCCCTCTGGGACCTGACAGGAGCAGCCGTGTGGGGCGATACTCCTCCACACCCACCCGCAGAGACGACTGTCTCCACGCCGGTGCCGTTGATAAAGGCTCTCTTGATTGTCTGGGTGCGAACATCAGACCAGTAAATGCGCTGCTCCAGGGCGTCGTAGTCCACCACCGTGACGTTGTCAATGTCGGGCACCGTGAAGGAGATGATGTAGTTGTAGTAGGGGTTGTCGATGTCCACGCCCCGGATCTCCATCTGCCGCGCATACAGCAGGAACTTCTTAAACTCTGGGGAGAAGGATGAGAGGGGCATGCATGGGACCTCAGCCTGGTCTGCAGAGCCAGCTCTGAAGCACCCACTTGTCCTCCCTGCCTCGAGGCGGCCTGGGCAGACCCCTACCATAGCAGGTTGTGTTGTCCTTGTCCAGCTTCATGAGGTGGGGGCATGCACACGACAAAGTGCGGTTGTAGTTGATGAGGCAGAGGTGGGAACATGGCCCTTTGCCCCCGTTGGCTTCACAGGGATTAGGAGCTGCAAAAGGGACAAGACTCGGTGACGCCCCTATTCCAGGGAACACCTACCCAGGAGACCCCAGAGAGCTGCAGAACTCCCAGACCCTGTCGAGGAGCTCTGATCCATCAGCCGCATCACCCCAAGACATTGCTTTGCTGGGTGGCCAGGGCCATAGCAGAGGCCTCCAGCTCAGCGAAGGGTGAGAAGCGGCAGCTGTGGGGGTGGGAGCAGCTCCCACGTGATGCTCCGAGTGGGCGCAGGCGCACACCGAGCGCCTGCACCATCTCCCTACTGCGCTCCCCCCGCCCTGTCCTCCCCCCTCTGCTTCCCAAGGCCTCACCCAGGGGCTGCCGGGAGGGGTGATACACCTGCAGGTCGAAAGGCTGTGTGTTGGTCCTCTGCACCACGGTCACGTTGTGCCCTGTCCACTTGTTGGCCTTGGCCAGCGTGTTGGTGCGCCAGTCGGTCCAGTAGACCTCACCCCCGTACAGGGTGACGGCAAAGGGATGTGAAAGGTACTCGTGTCCCCGCAGCACCTCAATGTGCCCCGTCCCATCATACAGTGCTGAGTAGATGGCATCTGACCTGTGCCCGGCAGAGACCAGGGGTGAGAGCAGGCAGATGGCTGGGCAAGGGCTAGCAGGCACAGGCAAAGGCCGTGTCTTTAACCCGACAGCAACAACCCACAGGGTCTAAGCAGCCACCTCCTCTGCTCTGCTTAACACTGCAGAGGAGGACGGCTGCTGATTTACACCAGGGATCAGAGCCCCTGCAGAGGAGAAAACCCAGAGCAAAGGCCGGCATGTGCTGCAGACACAAACAGACCCACAGAGCAAAGGGTTTTGCTCCCAGCCCAGGAGTCAAAGGGCAGAACAACACAGGAGCAAGGGGGAAGGTGCCAGAGCTGGGAGGGACATGGAGGGCAGGGGTTCTGAGGGGACAGGGAGGGGGAGGTGTGGGGCAGAGGTGGGTGTCCCAGTCCCACCTGGCGTCGATCCAGAGGATGCGCTTCTCCAGGTAGTGTTGGCCCCCCCCCCGGAGCCTGTCTCCTTGTGGATGGTGCGCCGGCCCGCGCCACTCATGGAGGCGGCCTCGATGCGGGGTAGGCTGGCGTCCCAGTCTGTCCAGAAGAGGATCCTGTGAGGGACAGCGAGCGGGGACGGTCAGCACAGGGACACCACCCTCTGCCTTACGAATCAGCAGTGGGGCGTGTGCCCAGAGAGAAGCCTGTGCCCTGGTCCCCCCGCAAGATCCCAAGGGTGCCACCGCGTCCTGGTGACCAACATCCCCTCCTGCCTTACCCATAGCGGGGGTCCAGGGCAATGGCACGAGGATGTTCGATGTCTCCAGCCAGCAGTGTGGTTCGCATGGTGCCGTCCAGCTTGGCCACCTCGATCTGGTCCAGGTTGCTCTCCACCCAGTAGATGTTGCCAGCGATCCAGTCCACGGCCAGCCCCTCTGGGGTGGCCAGCCCATACTGTATCACCACCTCGAAGCTGGTCAGAGCTGTGGGGCACAGCGCCGGCAGGGCTCAGCCTGGTGCATCTTCCCCGGCCCACCTGCCACCATCACACCCCAGTCCTGAACAGCTCCACCCAGCTTGACTGGGGTTGACGGCGCAGGGACGCTTCTTCCCCAAACAGAGCCTGAGCCCCAGAGGGCTCAGCCCCAGGTCCACGGTCCTGGCGCTGGGCTCTCGCTGCCCCCGCTGCAGGTGCCACCTCCCACAGCTCTGCAGCACTGATGGGGAGGGGGCCCAGCTTTGTGCTCCCAGCTGCTGGGCTGCAATTACCATCAGGGAAGTGCTGGGAATGCTAATTAACTCCTACATAATGAGCAACTTTGGAGAGCAGAACAGGACTGCTACAGAGGCTGTAGGCTCCAGGGGCTGCACCATTGCAGGGTGCCAAGGAGCCATTGCCGGCACCCTATTCCAGAACCGCACCCCTGCTTTCCCGCCCGTCTGGCGCCCCAGCTTTCTCCACGCTCTCAGGGTTACACACCTCCGTTCTCAAGTAGCTTCCCCCTGTAGATTTTGTCCTCCACCACATCGGTCCAGTACAGCGAGCTCTGGTTGAGGTGGAAGTCCAAGGCGATGGTGTTGCGCAGCCCAGGGACCAGGACGCTGTAGTCCCCCCGGTGCAGGTCAATGCGGCGGATCTCATGGCGGTTGGAGAAGATGATGAACGGTTTGAAGGGGTCTGTGGAAAGCAGGGCTGGGTCAGAAGCGGAGCATGGACAAGGCAGGGGGAAGGTGTTACTGGCCCCAGCCCCAGCCATGGTACCACCCACACCCGTGCACCGTAATGGGCTGCTTGTGCCAGGTGGGGACAGTGAGGGGTCCACTGTCAGCAAGCGGATCGCCCCAGGACCCGGCCGTGCCTGCCAGCACAGTCCTCAGCTCCACTGCTGCTGCCTCCAAGAGCAGGGGGAGGACATACCCCATCACAGGCAGCTGGGGTGACTGCCAGACCCTGCAGCCCACCCACACACACCCAGGCTGCGGCAGCTCTCGCCGTCAGGCTCCAGCATCCAGCCCTCGTAGCAGGAGCACTTGACATTGTACTTGTCCTGCTCGCACTTCTGGCTGCACTTGAGGTGCTTGGCACAGTAGCTCTGGATCTGGCAGGTCTTGTTGTCGGAGCCCAGCTCCATGCCCAGGGGACAGGAGCAAACAATGCCCTCGCCGGGAGCCACAGTGCAGTTGTGGCTGGAGGAGCCCTTGTTGTGGGAGGGCTCG